GTGTGTGTGTGTGTGTGTGTGTGTGTGTGTCACACCTCAGTAGTTTGAGGATCAAGGAGAGCCAGAGGCTTCCTCTCTCACACCCTCTCTTTGCTGGAAGTGATGTCATGGGAATTATAAAGCAGGGTGACCTTTGACCTCCAGTAGGTTCCCTAGAAAGGATTGTAGGATCAGCAATACGTTGAGGATAGTTTGTTTATTTATTTATTTATGTATGTATTTGGTCATGGGTTTATCATCTTTGCTGCAAACACACCATCCTGCTGTGGGAAATTCTCACCAGTGATCAAAATGTTTTTTTTAATCCACACATTCAAACATTTAAAAACTGTGATGTCCGGGATTTTTAAAAACTCCTGGATATTTTGTCAAATTAAAACCGTACATTTGTAAGCTCTGCCAGATACCTGTCCAGTGTCGTGTTTGGGATATTTTCTGTAGCTCTAACTTACAGACGCACCATAAACTGCTCACGTCCCAGCCGTCATTAATCGTGAAAACATTTTTGCCACAATATTAGACCTCCTCTTTCAGATGATTTCAAACCTGACATCGCACTTCCTTGTGTAACCGAGGCTGAAATATGAAGATAGCGAGCTTCATATAGAAGTGAACAGGTGCCTTATACCTGTACAAATCCATGTCTCCTCTGGTCATGATAAGAAAGAAGTGTGACTGCATCGAAGTCCATCCTTCAGCTCCTTCGATAACCTTAGGAAACACTTTCCTGATGAGAGGAAAGATTTAAGGTCTTTATTGCTGGTTTCAGCACTTACTTAATACACCAGTTTCAGGGGGCCGAAACTGGAGCCTAGTTTTAAAAAGCAAAGCTAGTCAAAACATTTATTTGAGTTTTATTCTCCATGGATGATCTCAACATAGCTATGTCCACGGATTTTGCTCCAGCTGGGATAGGTTCCAGCCCTCCCTAGCTGACAAAAGTGTTCAGAAAATTAACTGAATGGTAACTAATTGTTGGCTTTGGTCTTCGTTTGCTGACAGTATGTCCAGGATTTGAGCATCCAGTCGGAGTGCCTCAAACCGCGTGACATGCTCCAGAGGATTTAACCAAAACTAAAGATTATGCATTTTAGAAATCTGACAGCGCCTCACTGTCATTGAATAATTCTAATTTTTTTACTCAGACTGAAATTTGCTTCAGAAGAACGTCAGCTGAAGCTGATACTTTAAAAACAGTAGGTTCAAGTTGTCATAATTCTACTTTGAAGGATGAAGCATTGAAAGAAGATGAGGATGCACAAATAAATGGAGCAACTGTGATGGTCTCCTTCAGCCTCCTCTTCTTTCTGTGTTTTGTGTGAGCGCCTCCTCCTATGCTTCTTAAATTGAAAAGCGAACAGGAAGAAAAAAGGGGACAGCTAAAGAAAACGTTTGCAGTGAACTTTAGCCCTCTTTTCGTTCTTCTGTCTTTACACTGCTTTGTTTTATAAATGCTGAAACCAAAGATTAGGGAAGGAGGAAGAAGAGTAAAAAGAACTGCAGCCTTCCTCTCCTCCATACATCCTACGGAAGATGGAGGAAGAGGAGCAACCAGCTGTGACCTTCTCCTTTAGCCCTGAACATGACCCTGCTTTGAGGAGGATGAAGAGGCGAGAGCAAGAGGAGCAGTGACTCGTGTCTAACATTCTCTCATCCGTCTCCATCTTTTATAAGCTCTTCTCTCCCAGCTTCTTCCTCCTCTTCCTCACTTCTGTCAATAGATGGTTAGCAGGAGGAAAGGGGAGCAGTCAGTCGTGTCTGAGTTCACGCCTCTTTTCTTTCTACATCCTAAGCCCATCTTTTTTCCTCCGATCCCTCTCGGTTCATGGCTGGCTGCTCCTCCTCCTCCACCCCTCCAACTTCGTGTCTCTCAAGATAAAACAAGAGAAATGTTGGAGACGAGAGGAGGTGAATGACAAACAACCCAGAGCGACTGAATTAATGAAGGTGCGGTTAGTAAAATATGGATGACAGATCGGACAGCTGTGGAATCTGCTAATAATGCATTTCTTAATTTAACTCAAAGTATCTCCTTAGAGGGTTATCTAAAGATAATGACACACACACACACACACACACACACACACACACACACACACACAAAAGATGTCAATCGTATGACTTTTAAAAAAGTAGAGCTGTTATGTTCAGTCATTCTGGACTCTCATTAAAGTAGCTTTAAACAACTCACAGTTCAAATTAAGCTTTCTTTAACTTAGTTCAAACAAGCTGTTTTAGCTCCGCCCTTTAAGTCTAACTTTCTCCTGATTGGCTGCAGAAACTTTAACCAGGAGGTTTATGGAGCTGTTGAAATGAAAAGACGACATATGGACCTAAGAATAGAAATAAATGTCTGAGTTTAAGCCTGACCATTAAGGAAAGGTCAGTAGCGCAGAGCATCTCCCACCAGAGCTCTGGACCATAAACTTTCTTATATTTTAAATTCAGAATTACATATCCTTCATTTTAGCATGATCTTGGTCTAATGTACCTATAGTTTGTATAGTTTTATGGTTTTATTTGTTTATTTTCCCATTTTTTCAAGTTATTCTCTCAATTTTGTGTTGTTTTCTCAGATGTTTTAGCTGCTAAGTAGAAATTTCAAGATACTTAATTTTAGATTTTAACTTATGGATGGTAACAAGCTGGAAACTATAATAAAAGAATCGGCAGAGTTGACAAAAGTCCATAACCTTCCTGCAAGAATCTGGAATTGAGCCTGAATGGTCCTTAAATGGCTGTGAAGATGTTAACTGCAGTCTTTAATCTTTACTCTGTCCATCAGGCTCAGATTTCTGTTTCAAGAACCATTAAATCTTTTGTTAAAGTGCGGCTCTCTGTGCTGTTGTTAATCTCTTCATATCTCTCTGTTTCTCTCTGCAGACTGCTCATTAAACTACCCACTGGGGAAGCACATGATCCGTGAGGTCACCAACGTCTCCTTCAGTCATCTAGCCTGCGACGATCAGGCCGCCGTGGTTGTCCACTGGTCTGCGAGCCCACTAGGTCTGTTTACCTGTCGGCCTGCCTGTTTGCACGATCATCCGGAGAGACAGTTTTAGAGAGAGAACAGGGAAAGTTGAGGGAAGAGCAAGAAAGTTCAAAGTGCTCAAATCGTAAGATTACCCAGCTCTGTGCGTGTGTGTCCCTTTGATCGGGGCCGGAAAGAGAGGGAAAGAGGATCGCATCTCACACAACAATGCCGCGATTTGACCGTGAAGGAATGTGTGTGCGCACAGTGTAAGGTGAACCTCTGCTGCCTCTCCCTCTCTGTGACAAAACGGCCCGTTGTTTTCTCACACAGAGGGGGAGAGGCAGAAATCTGCCTGAAATTCTCCATGTCATACTCACATGTTGCCAGATTTCCTCTTTGAGATCTGCACAGCTTAAGGTTACTGCTGTAAGACAGCCAAGACTTTACCGACAAACCCAGAATTTATCTGAAACAAGGCTGAAGGCTGTGGCGCACCAGATGAGTAAAATTAGGGAGTTGGGCAGGAAGCCTTTTTTCTTTTTTTGGTCACCCGAATTAAGGTCTGTGACTAATTGTTGTTAACTGCAGTGAGAGCTTGTTTTGCATTGCCAGCATTAAGTTGGACTCAGGTTGAAGTTGGTTCACGGATCCCATTCAGAACTTTCATGGACAGAATTCTTAAAGGGGTGGAGGTTGTCGGATTCGGAGGTCTCAGGATCTTGTGTGAGTCTGTCAGCTTCCTTGAGCCATGACCTCCACCGTGTGCGGAGTCACAAGTCTGAGGCCATGGTTCCTAGCCAGCAAAGAGTGGATTGCCCACTCTGGTTTGGGAACAAGCTGCTTCCCCCGGGTAGGAGTAGTAGGAGTCTTGCGGTCTTGGTCACGAGTGATTGGTGTGGTGTCTGCAGTGATGCTGTACAGGTTTGTTGTGGTGAAGAGAGAACTAAGCATGAAAGCAAAGCTGTCAACTGGTCGATCTACGTTCCCACCCCCAGCTGTGGTCACGAGCTGTAGGAAGGGTGGCTGGACTCAGCCTTAGAGACCCTTGGGGTGAGCAGCTCTGTCACTGGGGGCAGGCCATGGACAGTCTGGAGAGATTATCGCTCTCTGGCTTGGGGACACTTCAGTGTCCGTCCAGAAGAGCTGGAGGAGGGTCTGGGTATCTCTGCTTAAGCTGCTGCCCAAACGACACAGGATAAGTGGCAAATAACAGATGAATGGATAGCTGGTTAGATATTTCCACTGTGTTTTTCCCAGAGAAGGCAAAGCTTCTACATGTTACGTACCAGGGATAAATAAGACTAGTTGTTGGAGACATTTAGCATCATCACATTGAACTGAGCCTAGTCTTAGCGTTTAAATTCTTGCAGCTGTATTTAATCTTCAAAAAGAATGTCAGGGAACATGAGAGAGAGATGCAGTAGAGCATCTACTGCTGATCACTCAAAGCAACTCAACTACAAGCTACTTTTACTCGTACTTTCACTCTTTTTTCTATAGATTTTATTCCCTTGCTCACATGCGGAGCCCATATAGAATCACAGATTAACTTTAACTTGTATTTGGGGGGTGGGAGGAAACCGGAGTACCTGTAGGAAATCCTCACAGAAAGGCCCCGGATGACGCAAGAAACTCTTTCCTGTGAGGCAACATAACCATTCATGCCACAATTCAGACTACTCGATCGACTTACAAAAAATACCATCCACCACAAACAATAAACTCTTTACATGTGTCCGATCTTATAAAAGAGGTGAAAAGGGGTCTTTTTAGATTTGTATTTGTGATAAACAGATACTCGTGGTTCTTCTTTGATTGCTATTGAGTTTGAATAAAGATTGTCCAAATTTATACTGAAGAGAAGGAGAGAAAGAAAAACAGATCAATTGTGACCTCAGGCTGCTTCTGCTGTTAAAATGCAAAACATCCACGACTCACAAAGAGGGAGCGAGAGAGGTGTTCAGAAATATGCCTCAGGACAGAAAAACCTGTTCTGCTGCATCTCTCTCTCATGTTCCCTGTCTTTCTCCTGGAGAGCTAATATGAAAAACATGTCCGGTCGATGTATAGGTATAATTAAAAGACAGGTGTGCTTTCAAAGAGGAGTGACGGGGGTTTAAGGAGTGGAGGATTGTAGGAGAAGTGAAGAGGACTGAAAATAAGGAGGGTGGAGACGAGAGGAGATGCATGCAAATGAAGGAACAGAGTGGAGGGGGGAGAAAAATGAGAACTAGGGGATAGGCGGAGATATAAGGAGGCACAGGAAAGAAGGAAACAAGGGTAGGTTTGAGGCCTTGTTATCACTGTGTGAATTAGCTCTACACACTATTTGGTTTTTAATTGTAGCTATCTGCCGTGACTGGTTGCTGTTTAGCTGGGATGATTCCCAGCTACACTGACTGGTTACTATCTGTAATGTAAAATAAGCTGTAGAAAAGTACCAGGTATCAAAACCAGTTAGACCTTTCATGGTCTGAAAAGAAGAGTTGAGGAAAGGGCACAAAAAGATTAGCTGAAGGAAGCATCCTGAAAGAGTTGGCAAGACTGTAAAGAAGAAAATTAGGCTATTACCTGCTATGTGCCCATTCATAATCACTGATTAAGGTATCGTCTTTGCCCTACTGCTTATTAGTGCTACTTTCCTTTCTCTACATCAAATATAATTTTTCATAACTAAATGCAAGATTTTATAGTACTGTTTAGAGTTAATGTTGACACTGCAAATCGCAAGATGTTTAGTGGTCTTTAATCTCCCAGCTCCTTAGTACAAAGTGAGAATACCACAAGTAATAGTCCACTGAGTTCACAGTAAGCAACGGTTGACCTGTGGCCTCGATTCAGGCAACACTTGCACCAAAAACAACATGTGTTTCTGGCAGTGAGAATACGTCTGCAGATGACTCATGCTTCGGAGTCTCCTGCTGTGTGTTACGTATCAGAAAGGATAACAGAAGAAAGTCTCCAAACTGTATTATCCCCATGATGTCCGGAGTTCATGCACAAAAGTGGCACAACACATCAGATTCCCACCTTTTCAGTCTTTTGCCTTTTTCTGACAGTAAGTTTGTCGATTAGCTGTGACAAGCACGCACTGGCAAGGTATTACGTTAAACCTATTTCTCCTGTGTTTATATCAAGGTATGTTCATGCAACTCTACCATGACCACCTAAAAATCCCACCTCAAATCAAAGGGCTACTAATACAGTAGAACATTTACTTAACTGTGCAATAGAAATGAGTGCAGCAGAGAAAAGGGGAAAGATGGATGAAGAGGAGGGAACAAGGAAAGGCAGAAAGAAGAGTAAGAAGAAGGTAGGAATGAAACTAGATCTGGTTAGGAGTGTAGTGTAGAGAGTGAATAAGGATATGGATGTGTTGGTAAAAGGCAAGGAGAAAAGACTGGTGAGGAAGAGAAAAGATGGATGCAGACGTGGTGAGACTGAACTTGCTGTTGCGTCTCTGCAGGGATTGAACACATTAAAGGCTTCAGAGTTTACCTGGAGGACAAGAATCCAGAAGGGAAACAGTGTCAACACCTCATCCTCAAAGACCCACGACAGCTCAACTTCTCCTACAAGAACACGGTAGGGCCATTTCCACAAAAACACTTTGAACTGCTGGCTTTTCACATTTCCCGCAGTAGCACATCGCTCAAAGGATAAGATGCTTCTTCCAAATGTAAGCATGTTAGAGGCAGCTATCGAGGGTGCTGGAACAGGGGGACAAGGAGCCCTGAAGAAAATGTTGTTTTGAGGGATAAGCATGTTAATCCCTGCACACTTTTTGTAAAATGAAGCAGACATGCATAAACAAGTCGAACACTCCTAATTCTTTCTATTTTCAAAATAGGGATTTGTAATTGACACCATTCTGGGTTTGCTTGGGAGTGGACAGAGAGCCTGGGTCTCAATAAGGCATACCTCTGGATCTGCATCTGCAGTTTCTTGGGTTGTTAATGCATATTAGGCTTAACATCAGCAGTTTGAGTCATTGTGCAGACCTCTCAGAATATAGTTTTGTGTATTTGTTTTACTTCATTCTTTTGTTTTTTGTTGCTTTTTGGCCCTCGATCGATATGAAATTACTTCAGCTCCCTTGGTGGTTTCAGTCAATCCTTTCCGCTGCAGGCTGGCTGTGTAATAATCTCCTCCTAAGCTGATGGTAATGTGCTGTAAGAGATCAGGAACACAATCTGCAGTCTTCATTCTTCCAAAATATCGTCATTATAGGACACTGACAATAAACTCGCACATGACTGCCTGGACAAAGATAAACACTTGAATCCTTGAAACATCTGTGGCCCTGAAGCCTTGAAATAATTACCACACAGTGTAAGCTGGCTCACTGAGTCACTCTTCTGTTGAGATGTTGTATTTAATAAGTCCACATATACATGCTCATTAGAGTCTGCTTTTATCTTTTTTACTGCTTTTAATCAATGCATGCCTGCAGCCCACAGATAAAAAATGTTGGCACAATGACCTCAATTAATGTGCACTGTTCCCGATGAATGGATGAAGCAAACATGTTTGTGCTTTATTAACTCGGATATTTACCATTGCTGCTAAACTGTATTATTTCGATTTACTTCATTTCCTCTGAAGACTGTCGCTCATCATTTCCTTCTAATTTCACCGTTGAACGTTTGTTTGTTAATGTTTTCATGTACAGAAGCTGAGCAGTCAGCCGTTCAGCGGTTTGAACTTTGACACCGACTACATGGTTCGTGTGGTTCCCTTTCCATCTCAGATGAACGAGAGCTTCTTCCCTCCATCTTTCCTCAAAACTAACTGTGAGTCCTACATGTCTCACAAATGTATGGGACTGAGTTTTTAGCCGATCAGCTGATTCACTGATTGTTTAGAAAAGCCTTTTCAGGCGCCTCTTACATCATCTTACTGTTCCAAATCCCAAAAAGCCACCTCGAGGCACTTTACACTTTAAGGTAAAGACTTAACCAGACTCAGGGAGGGGCAGCCATCTGCCACGGCTGGTTAGAGGTGAGCATAGTTTTACGTTTTCTTTGTTATAATATAATTGTCCCATTTAGGCTTCCAAGGCATGATAAAACAGAGTATGATTTAGGGCGTGGCTATCTCAGGATGCACAAGCCTCTACCATGTGAGTGTTTATACTGTGTATACAGCTGGTATGTAATACATGTGACGACATAAACAAAAACAAGATACAAGATGCTTTGTTTTTATGTTTTCTTTTTCTATTTAAATCAGTTCAATTCAGTTTTATTTATAAAGTATAAAGACTTCATCACAACAACAGTTGCCTTAAGGCGTTTTATATTGAAAGGTGAAGACCCTACAATAATGCAGATAAGCAATCAGATAAGCAAGCACTTTGCAACAGTCGGAAGGAAAAACTCCTTTTTAACAGGAAGAAACCTCCGTCAGAACTGCAGTGACTGGTTGGGGCTGAGGGGAGGGAGACAGGATAAAAAAGGCCAGGAGATTAATAATAACTCATGAATAAATGCAGAGAGGTGTAAACATGCAGTGAGTGAAAACAGATGTGAAAAGAAACGCTCAGTGGATCATGGGAAGCCCCAGCAGTCTAGACCTATTGCAGCATAACTTAAGGGAGGACTCAAGGTCATCTGATCCAGCTAAAACTGTAAGCTTTATCAAAGAGGAATCTTTTAAGCTTGGTGTTAAAAGTAGAGGGGGTGTCTGTCTCCTGAATCCAAACTGGGAGCTGGTTCCACAGAAGAGGGGCCTGGAGAGACTGCCTCCCATTCTACTTTTGAATACTCTAGGAACCACAAGTAAGCCTGCAGTCTGAGACCAAAGTGCTCTAATGGGGTGATATGGTACTATCAGGTCATTAAGATAACATGGGAACTGATTATCAAGGCCTTGTATATGAGAAGAATTTTAAGTTTGATCCTGGATTTAACAGGGAGCCAATGAAGAGACGTGACGTCAGTGTCCTCACCTCTTGAGACACCTAAAAATTACCGTCCTGAAGAAAACAGTGTTTACTTTCATGTGGAGTCAGATGGAAACGTGTTCATTAAATACTGGAAGCAGAATAAAAACAAAAATGCTGCTAGACTGACAGATTTACTGCACTGCTCCGAGATGCATGCACCACCTTGGAAGTGAGTTTAAATGGATCACAAGACAGAACATGCATAAAGCTTAGGAGTTGCTGTGAGGTTGTGTGTTTCACTATGTGCCAAGCCGGACTAGTTTTCCCAAAACATCCCCTTTTTTTTAAATAAGCTGAGACAAAACTGAGGCTGTACAATGAGAACAATAAAACAAACTTTGTAACCATCTCTCTGTGTGTTTTGTTTTTTTGTTGTTTCCTTACAGCGTGTGAAATGCTCCTCGGATCAGACAACCTGGTCTGCAAACCATGTAAGTTCCTCAGTGTCGTCGTCATAACCAGAGCCACATGTAGGCCGACTTAGTCGGGAGCTGGTTACACTGCCAAAGCTGGACCCAGCCCCGCCTCGCTCTTAGATCAGTTTATTGTGAATTAGTTTTTGCACAAACGATTCAAGTTTTCCTGTGTAGGTGAAATGATGAGAAATAGGGGAGGCTACGGTGACCTTAAGCAGAAAAAGACAACAATGTGTTCCTACATTTCTGAAAGGTTGCTGTATTTTTTGAAAGGTTCTTCTTGTACTTGTTTTATTGCAATATCTAAGAGGTCGTGGGAGTTTAGAGTTCTTATTTCTTGTGTTTTGCAGTCTGGACACCAAGGACGCTGAACGTGTCTCAGCTCGGATCGAGCCTTCATGTGGCCTTTGATCAGGCTCCGCCCTCCTTTGGTTTCCATTTCTACTACCTGTACTACAAACTGCGACCGGACGGACCCTCCAAACTGCAGCGCTGCAAACTGGTAAGATCAGCTGTGTTTAATACATTTTGACATCAGTTAAGTTCAGATTTATAAAAGTTTTCTAAAACCCGCCATGTTCGAGCAGGTTTTCAGTGACCTCTAATGAGAAACGTGACAGTTGTTGTAATAAATACTCTAATAAATCTCTGTAAACAGATTCAAATTCAAAGGACTGTGTAGGCGAATGAAAATATACTGGGTAGCAGGAGATGACAGAACCTGAGGAACTGGTATCATATTTAACCCTTTGTAATCACCATTTCCATATCTAGACCAAATAAATTATAGCAATAAGTCTTTCTGCATGCAACCGCACTTAAATATCACGAGATCAGCTGTCCCAGAGCGCTGTTTCCTTTGGTACTCTATCAATCTGACCAGCTGTTAACAACACTTGGAATATACGTTGTCACCGTGAACTACCACGTGGTTTTCAGCAACAGCGGAGAAATGATGTCATTTCCCGAGCAGCTGTAGTATTTTTTTTTCTTTCTCCAAGACCTATCACAGATCCACTGCGGCTGCTGAAAACTGTTTAACTTTGTGCCTTTGCGCATATAAGCTGAACACGTAGAACTTTGAGTGCACTACTGGAAATAGTTAATTTTGCTGTACATGCTGTGTTTCTTCAAACTGCATATGCATTTTATTTTATTTTAATACAGTTTATAAAAATGATTGCATTACAAACATTTATGAACACACTCAAGCTAAATTTCCTGTTTACAGTTTTGAGGGACACACCCATGACAACTGTGTATCTAGAAAAATGTGTAAAAAAATTCACTTTTAGTAATGTATTTGGTTACTATGGACTTATTACATACACGTTATTAAAATTTGGGCTCTATCAATAAACAGTAAGTTGAATTTCTCAAAAAACAAAGGCAGTACAGCATGTAAAAATATGAAGACAAGCTTGGGTGGACTCTTTCTGTGATAGTTAAACTGGAAGAGGTTATATTGGTGCCTATTGAGTACCTGTAGACCACCAGAGATTTTCTCATGAAAGCTCTTAAGTTTTGTTTGGAAAAAAGGGTTTAATCGTTTGAGGGAAAAAGCTGAATTAAACTGTATGGAAAATTACCAAAGAATGTTTTTTCTTCTTTGTTTTGGAAAGCAGATCAGCTTGTGGGTAAAAAGTGAATGCTGTTGTTTCCAGAGATGTATTTATTTAGATTACAGAAGAGGGTTTACTCTGTCCTTTTTTCTTTTTTTTTTGTTTGCCACCACAAAAAGAACTGAAATGCTTTTGTTGGTCGCTGCTGAAACCCTGTAAAGACGTGTTTATATTGAATTCTTTCCTTTCAATAAATACATTTGTTTGGACTTGCCTGAAAAGAACATTTGAGATTGCTGGCCATTGGAGTCCTATCTGAATCTAATAGATATTGGCATCATTGGACCTTATTTTGCTTCGCTTGGTGCTTTACAGTTGAGGGGTTCGCGGTAGAGTGTGTGATGCTCTAAAACATGGGCTCTTGTGGCAGATTCACCCTGAAATAGCAAGTTAGCAGTCTGTTACAAACATGTGATTTCTCTGATTCTCCAAACTATTCTCATAGTTTCTTCTAGTATTTTCTGTGAAAATGTGTGTTGTCCCTCGCCCTTCCCGGCTCTATATAATGGTCATATTTTCACTTCGCCTTCACGTGTGGCCAATGTGGAGCAGCTGTAAACACATTTTATTTGCGATGAATTTGATGTGGAAGCCTATAATTTGCCCCTAAATCTCATCCAACCACATCCAGAGTTTCTACCCGATCATGTCCGGACTGGAAGGTGGCGTGAAAAGCTTTTGTTCCAGCCTCGTCCTAACTGCATCCTCCTTGATCTCGCTCCAGCAGCTCTTTTCTTTTGTCTGTCTTCGCAGTATCAACACCATCAGGAGACACACACACACACACACACACACACACACACACACACACACACA